TATTAGTGGATGTATGAAGTAATTGGGAGAAAAACTATCCATTTAAATACATTTATTTTCAAATTCCCAATAAAATTTTACTTGTTATGTGTAATACTTATCAAAGTTTGTTACATATTTATGTTGTGCTGATGTAGTGTGTTCTGATAATTGTAATGATAGTTCAATGTAAAAGAAACTTTAATATTTAGAGCTTTATATTTAGGAAAGTTTGTGTATTTAAATTTTAATTTATATACATTTAATGGCTAGAAAGGGTAATAGGATCATCAATTAAAATCTTTCAAACCTAAAAATATGTTAGAGTAAATTCTGTAATGTTAGTGGAATGGAAATACAAGTTGAAGTAGAAAATGAAATAATAAAATTTACTTTTTGTACTTGAGAGTGAATGATGGTGGTTATCAAATTACTATGACATTTAAATTCCTGTTAGCTATACTTAAAACAATGTCACTTGATTTTATGTTTATTGATTTTAGAGAGAGAGGGGAAGAGAGAAAGAGACAGAAACATTGATGTGAGAGAGAAACATCAATTGGTTGCCTTCCATACACTCCCTGACCAGGAGTTGAACCAGTGACCTTTGTTACTTGGCGTACTGGGACAGCACTCCAACCAACCGAGCCAGCCTTTCAGGGCAATGTCACTTTAGTTTAAGGTGCAGATAATTACAATGCACCAGAAATTACAATATTTACAACTGTTCAAATCTTTTGTCATAACTTGAAAATATGAAAGATAGTCCTGGGGAAAAAAAATAGGATTTCAAATTATTTATTCCTAATTTGTAAATCACACTTTTCAAAAAGAACCATTTTTTATTTTTGGTAAAACCATAAATAATGCTAAATACTCTTTCTGTATTTGATGACACCTAGTCACATGTTAACTTCTATCAGCTCTCTCTTATGAATAGTTTTTGAGAAGCTAAGAAGTCATGGAAACCATATGTGAAACAATAAAAATGGAAAGAGGTGGCGATGATATTGAAGTTTGCCTCTCAAACTAGTTCCACAGAGTGATGTTCGGGGAAATTTTAATAGAGAGTCTTTATCTCCTCGAAGGACCTAACTCTAAATAAAGTTACACTGGGGATTAGAGATTGAACATATAAATGTGGGGGGGGGGTACACAATTCAGTCCATACACATGTAACACATAGTAGTCACTTTGATATTATTTATTTTATATTAAAAATACAGTGAGTCTCTGTAAAACTTACATTCTTACTGGATGGGGAAAAAACCTCATGTTATTTAGGTTCTCTACACCTGTACTTTCTCACCTATAAAACTAGGGAATTGGGTTGGTTTGTTTCTCTGAACACTGAAATTCTCTGTTCATTCAGTTTAGAATGACTTCTAATATTATTCAGTAGGTAGGATATAGGAGGTCTCTTGTAATAGAAATTGATGTTGTGTTAATCAGCATTCTACCAACTTCTCATAACTGAGGTAAAATACCTAATTATTCCATATACCTCTAAATTCCGATATGGATACTTTTTTCAACTGGCTATGCTAGTTAGGTTTTATTATATATAACTTAAAGATTTTGGTATGCCATGTTTCTCTTTTTGTTTCAGTAAATAATACCCTTTATTTATACAATATAATTTATCCTTCATGAGCAAATTTCATTGTAATGGATTCAAACAATACAATAACATGTAGAGCAAAATACAAGAATCTTTTTCATACCCACTCTATCAAAGGAGATGACCGCAATTGACAGTTTGGAATGCATCATTGCAATCTTATTTCTGTTAATGAACATAAGAGTATTCATATATGCATTTTTTAATAAATTAGATCATGCTGTATATATTCCGTTATTTAAAATTTTTTCCTCAACAGTGTCTTTTGGGATTTTCATACATACTAGGATGTATGTGTAGTATTTTTTTAAGTGGTTACATAGTGTTATACAGTATTACTGTAATTTATTTAACTATTTTCCTCTTGTTGGACATCACTTTGTTTTCTTTACCACTGTTAAAAATAATGGTGTGTGAACATCCTTACATGTACATCCATTTGTGCAGAGGCTCCTTTAGAACAATCCCACGTGAGACTGAACACACTGAACATTTTGATTGCTAATGATTGTCTTCTCAAAGGCTTCACAAATTTACATTTCCACCAACAAGAGTGAGAGTTCATTTACCTTAACCAGTGCCAAAATAATATCAGTATTTTAAAATTGCTTTCAATATGATGGTTGAAAAATTGTATTTCATTAAAGTTGAATTTATCTGATATCTGGGATGTTGAGCATCCTTTCATTTGCTCATTGGCCATTTGTATCTCTGAATTAATTGCTCCAATTTACCCATTTGTCTTAAGAAATATATTTTTCTTACTGATTTGTAAGAATTTTTAAAAATCTATTTTGCATGTGAATCCTTTATTTTAAATGTTGCAGAAAATGTTTTTCCTGTCTGTTCTTCCCTTTTTACTTAGCTTATGGTATCTTGTGGAATGGGGATATTGCATTTTGTGAGAATGCCAGTCATTCCCTTTATGATCTCTGTTTTGTGTGGTGTTTAGGAAGACTTTCCCCATGTTGAGTTATTTAATTTTTTTCTGGTATTTTATAATATTGTTTCTTTACCTCGATTTGGAGTTTATTAAATGTATGGTCAATGGACCCAACTATTTGTTATTTAGTACATTCTTTTCTTCCTGATTTGAGGCAATCTTTATCTTAATCTAAATCTCTGTATATATACAGATTTATTTCTGGACACTCTCTTCTGTTCTTTTAAATGTGTATTTATAATTTCTTTACCAATAGTGTACTTCTAATTACAGTTAGTTACTATGTCTTTTGAAATCTGAGAAGACAAGAACATTTTCATTGATTTAATTTATTTTGTATAGCTATTCTTGCTGTTTTTAATCTGTAGTTTTTTTCCCCTTTTTTCCTCTGTTTGCTATTACTTCTCAGAGTTATAGAAACCTTACTCAGCTTTCTTCTGATGTGTGGCTATTAAGTTATATGTGAACTAGAAAACTAGATATTAGACTGTGGTATTTTAGGCAAAACAGTCTTTATTTTGAGAAAATGAAGACTTCACATGAGATTGATTTATGGGTAGAATGTTCATATTTTAGTACATAACACTTATTTCATATGTTTTAGTTTCTTAGAGGCTTAGATGTTTTCATTTCTAGGTTCTTAGTAATGTTTTAAATAGTTGAAGTTGCTGAATGTGTAATCTGTATAAATATTAATATTGTTAAAGAAGCTATACTTAATTTACTTTGCTGAACAACTTTCATGTTTCTGTCAGTGAACAAATAGATTAGGTTAATGAAAGTTGTCTGTTAACAGGGAAACAAAGTAAATATGACCAAGCCCATTTAGGGTTTTCTTTCCTAACAACGTAATAGAGAATAGAAGAAAAAAAGAAAAAAATAGTAGGTAATTAAGTAGAAGGTATTGTTTTAAATCAGCTATAGCTGGATGCTGTTACAGTAACAGCATCATTATCATGGAGCACCTTTAACTCAAGGTCAGCTTTTTGAAAAGGCTTGACCTGCTTTGTGCTTTGGGGGGCAGGGAAAATCCCAGCAGCCTTGGTTGGGCAGCTATAGCCTTTATTGTACCTAAATTGCTGAATGTACTTGAGTAACTTAAAGTGGCATCCTATCTTTACTGCAAAATCAATAGAATCCTGTATTATCTGTTCAGTTCTAACATAAGAAATAGAGAAATAGATGTCTATAAATAAAAATTAACATTTTACATAGTACTAATTTGTTTACATTTTTATCATCTGAATTAAGAGAATAGAGTCCACTTGCTTTTTAGATCTTCATTTTAAGCTTTTGTGTTTTGTTTTGTTTTTAAATCTCTCTGGTACTATGAATTAGCGTGTGTGCGCACGCGCACTGTGTATTACTCAAGGAAATATTATTTCTCATTCCTGGATAGGTGAATTATTTAAGGGTTTCTGAGATTGCCTTAAGATTTGGGGGATTTGGGGGACATAAAAGCACATATACTTTTTCTAGACATTTCAAGCATAGAATGCCCCAGACACCTAGAAATAGAATGGTTCTGCATTGTGATTAGTACCTGGACTCTAGTCAGACCTCACTTGGGCAAGAAACATATCCTTTTACGTTTGGGGCTTCCTGAAGCTGCATATATTTGTACTTATGGGAGTCAGTAAATTAATGTGCTGTCTCAGAACTCACACAATGAATCTAGGCTGCAGAGACTTACACTGATTGGTACATACAGTCTTTTAAAAATATCTATATATATGGCTTCTCCTGAAAATTTGGAAGATCTGATAACCTGGGCCCCATGTTAGTACATGGCAGCAATTACTAGATGGACATGTGCTCTTCAATTTACCAGAATCTCTGCCACTCCTTACCCTAAAGGTGGCTGTTGCCATTTATCACCACGTTTACATGATCACCCACTTACTCAATTCATTTATGTTTCTACCTGGCATCTGAAGGTTTGTGATACCTAATTTATAACAGTCTTCATCTTTTTTTTCTGTACCTTGTGCAGTTGAAATACAAATGAGTAGATAGCAATTTAATATTGTTAGAACAGTCAACTCATTTCCAGAAACATATTCATGCCTTCATTTTCTCTTGCATCTTCTTTTTTCCTGAAATATTTTATCTGTTCTGCAGCAGAATCCTACTCATTTCAACTGCCAACACCTTGAATCTCCCCTTAATCACCTCTGTCCACGGTAGTGTGTTCTTCTAAAGTCTTAGGACACTTACTTTCTCTGCCACTATAAATTTATTATAGCAGAGGTTTAGAGTCTTGTTCAACTAAAAAAATCATTGTGTTCTATGAAGAAGCCTTTGATTAGTCTTTTCTTAATATGGTTCACAGTTCACTTTTTTCAAAGAAATCCATATATTCTTGTCATTTTGAAGACTAAGAAGAGTAACTTTAAATTTTGTTTTCCTAAATGGCTTTCAGACATTAAATTTAAATATTATTTTTCTTGCTTTCAGTTACAGATGAGGACACAGTAAAGAGGTATTTTGCCAAGTTTGAAGAAAAATTTTTTCAAACCTGTGAAAAAGAACTTGCCAAAATCAACACATTTTATTCAGGTGAGTGGTTTTTTTGGTACAGCATACCAGAGACAATTTCTGCTGCTAAAGGAGGAGAAACTCTAACCTTTGTCATTGTTTAAACATCTGGTCATCGTTTTAAAACTGGGGCTTCTTGTCCTTGTTCTGCGGTACCTAAGGGGTATTTTCTTTAGCTGAACAGTGTTTAAGACGTATATGGGAGTTGCCTGTGTATTCTTGCAATTGCAAGGATTTGGGACCTCATTGTCAAGCGGTACCTTGATAGAGCTTCACTGTAGCCCAGTCCAAAACTTTAAGAGTCAGAAACTTATTTCTCTCAGAGCTGAATTACACAGTTTCAGCTTTTTAATTATGGCAGTTTTATGCCCTTCCACTACCTTGTGAAACTCTCGTATCTATCTCTCTAGAGCACAGTTTGCAGAATGGCATCTACAAGATGCTATTGAAGTTGAGAAGAAAATATTAGAACTTTTATATATTTATGTCTTACTCTTTTAACTTTGTATTATATGTTCACCTTCCTACTTTTTTAACATTTGTTTTTTTAGTCTCACAGAGCTCAGGTTCCTTGACTCCCTTGTTGTATTCCAGTTGATCAGATACCTCCCAGAACTCTTTACCACTTTTAACCACTTTTGTCCCTTGTACTTTTAATCCCTAGCAAGAAACTCCAGCTGTGGACTGATCCAGCCATTTACTTTCTTCATACACTGAGCTGCTTAGGACAGCTGGGAAAAAAATCATAGAGCAGGAAAATTTGAACCACTGTAAATTCGTTGTTGCTTCTTAACTGTGTCCTCAAAGCTGCCTGTTGGTCCTGATCAATGCCCTTTTCCGTGCTCCAAAGTGCCCTTGTAAACCCTACACCATTCTCTTGAGTTCTTTGACCCTACTGTCTTCCTCATCGTGCTCATTAACCTCCTACTTTACAAATAAATTAAAGGCCTTCAACTCCTGTTGGTGTATAATGCTTAGGCAGATCTATGCGTTCCTCTCCACAAATACTTATGGACATTCTTACCCTTATTAATTTTACTCCAGTCTTTGTGGCAAAGATGTCCCTCATGAGCCCGTGGCAGATCTCTACAACTACTGGTTGAATTTCAGTTACTTGAGCCCTTACTCCTGAAATTGTCTCCTCTAAGAATTATGGAGTAAATGCATTGTTAACTTCCCTTTTTACTGGTTTAGTCTCCTTAGCAAGTCACTCCCTTCAAACTAAAAATAAATCAACAAAAAGGGAAGCAAATATCTTAACTCTGTGTCGTCCTCCTCCTCATCTTTCATTGATGGCTGGACTTCTTTGTAGGCAGAGGGAACAGTCTTTGCAAAGGCACAAGGCCATTAAAGGACATGGCATATACACATGTCCTCTTTACTACATTACAAGCACCTAGAAGACAGAGACAACATAGAAATATTTGAAACCATGCAAATGGATAAATTTTTAGTGGGGGGAAAATGTACAGAAGGAATGGCAATTTTCAAGGACAAAGGTAATTTCCATAATTAGGGAGTAGGAGGATAAATAGGAACCAGCAGTGTAGACAGCCATGTACTGTGGACTGAGGAAGAGGGACTAAAAGAGGAAGGCATTCGCATTGGAAAGAGCCATTGGATGTGATCTAAGGCTGTAAATGAAAAACAAATGAGATCAAGTTTATTAGCATTTTCTTTTATTATAATTTTTTGGGAAGGGGTTTCTGAGTCCAACTCTGAAATTTAGATCACAAAGAATAGATAATGCTTCTTAGTTCATAAAAAGAAGTATCTACTCTTAACAATAGATACATAATTTTTATATTTTGAGTTATACACATATATGTAGGTTTTGTGTATGTTTGTATGCATCTATGTATGTATATGTAATATAAATAATTTTTCATAAAACAGTACTTATCCTTACTACTTGTAATTTTTTCTGTTTTTCATATTTAATTATTTCTGTTTGATTTTTAAAATCCTGATTTATGATCTACTAAATTGCTTCCATGATACCATATTGGATTATATATAACCCTCAATTTGAAAAATGGTATCTTAGACTTGGTTACTTTTCAGAAACAATTTTAGACTTTCTACTATTAAAAACTTGGGACCTGTGATATAATGACACCCTTTTTGTATGTGTATTGGCAGGGCTATTAGGACATACATCTTGATGTCACCACAGAGTAGGTACAAATTCATAGTCTTCAGACTGGCTTTTTGCCAGGTCAGGAAGTAACGGGTAATATGAAGACATGATTGACAGAAATAAAATTTGTCGTTTGTCCTAGACAGTATCAGTCTTCTCCATATTTAACTGTTTTTTTATGGCAGATTGTCTTGTAAACGGCAGTCCTCAGACACTGAGGCACATGAGAAACTAAATAATACCAGGGTGAGTTCAGCTTATACACCTACTCGACCCACTTGTATCTCACAAAAATATTTAATATTCAACTAAAATGGTCATTTTTAAATGATATAGTCTTGACTGAAACCGTTTAGTACCTGAAAAAAATGCTATAAAAAACAAACAAAACATAGAATGAATATCACTAATGTGTGGGTATTTACTTTGACACCAATTCTGTTACCTACCAATTACATGTTGGATTTTTGGACCTTATTATTTTTGTGGAAGTTTACCATTTAACCTTCCTAGGCCTGCATATACACTTGCTTGTAAAATGAGCAAATTGATTCCCAGCCTTCTAGGTTTCCACATGTGAAGAGTCAGAAGCTATTTTCACTAGTTCAGAAAACCAGATGTAAGTTATTTTATCGCTCTTTATTTTTTATTTCATATCTTTAGTTAATAAGATATGGGCATTTATTTAGATTTATAGATAGAACCTTTGAATATTTGAAGACCCTGGGACAAGAGGGTAATTTTTAAAAGGAGGCATTCTTTATAGTGATAACGTTGCTAATCCCTGACCTAGAATCGTGAAGGCTGTAGTGTTAGAAACTTTGTTGTGACGTTATGTCCTCCTCCAAGTAATACTAAACACTTCATGTTACCTTTTTCTCTTCTCTTGGACCAGTTTGCTCTCTCTTTTCATTCAAAATACTTAGCTTTTCAGCGGTATCTTTATGTGCCTACATTTTAAAAAACCTTAGAATAAAGATCTGTTGCTTTTAATGTTCCATAATTAAAACCAGCAATCTTTTTTTTTATTGGTTGGAATGTTTTAAATAGATAGCTAAGAGCTTTTTCCTTTGTTTATAAACAACTTCAGGGTTTTGGGTTTTTTGGTCTGTCCTAAATTTTTTGGCTTCAGTTATTACACAAGGAACTCATAGCAGTGCTGGGTGCTTTCCCATTCTTTACCAAAAATGAGGGATGAAAGGAGGGAAGAAAGGAAATTGCAGTAGTGTTATTATTTTTAAGTCAGAAAATTATAGCAGTAGAAACAGATTTATTCCTTGGCTGCTAAATATTTTCGGGCTTCATATAAATGAAAGAGCAATTGGATAATAGTTACTCAGAACTATTCCTATTATAGTTATTCCTATAATCCCATTACACAGTGTCTTGCTATACTTTTTTATTCTTATTGAATTTGAGACACTGTATATTGTTTTGCCACTGAACATGTGTAGTGAAATATAAGAATCTCACTGAAATACTAAATGTTCGCTTTACAAGTCATTATATGGATCTAATACCCACATATTTAAGTTAGGATTTAGTGGTTAGTTTTGTTCTTTGCTTTTATGTGTGTTAAAATGTGGATTAAATATATATTTTATTAATTAGAGTAAAATCCCCATTGTGTTAGAATTTTTTCCTACATGATGAATCTCTTGAATCTTGAGTTTATTACAGCACAGTCAGCTACTTAAGAGCTATTAAAAGATGGGGGGTAGAGGGAAGTGAATTAAAGCAGTCAGCCTGGCTTGCTTTCTGATTAACACATTTGATGAAAATTAAAATTATTTACATATTATCCACAATATATTTTGCTTCCTTCATTTTGTTAAAAAGTGGTTAATAAATTTCAATTAAAATCAAGCCATGTGAAACCAACTTCACTTTCTTTCTCTCCTTCCTTCTTTCTTCCCTTCTTTTCTTTGTCTTGTTTCCCCTTCACCCCCCAGACCCTGGCAACCACTAATCTACTCTCTGTCTCCATGGATTTACCTGTTCTGACATTTCTTATAAATGGAATCATGTACTGTGTGGCATTTTGTGCCTGGCTTGTTTCATTTACCATGATGTCTTCAAGATTCATCCATGTTGTAGCCTAAATCAGTACTTCATTCCTTTTTATGGCTAAATAATATTCCATTGTATATATATACCATATTTTACGTATCCATTCATCAGTTAATGGACATATGGGTTATTTCCATGTTTTAACTGTTACGAATACTAGCTTGTGTATGTGCACAAATTTTTCTGTGAACATATGTTTTCACTTCTCTTGGGTATATACATAGGAGTAGACTCAGTGGATCTTAAGGTAACTGTTTAGCCTTTTAAGAACTGACAAACTGTTTTCTAGATTATAATGTGGCTGTACTGGTTTGTGTTATTACTCTTAGTGGCTTTTCAAATTCTGTGTCTTCATTTGTAAAAAGAAAGGGTACAGCAGAGGTTTTGTAGAAAGGGAAGTGTGGGATAGAATGAAAGGAAGGTATAAAAACATTTTTTCCTGTCCAGTTCTAAGTATTACATGTAACTTTTCCCTAGAAATTTTAGGGAAACAAATGAGAATAATTAGTAAAAATTCAGACAAGTCAGTGAGTACTTTCACCACCATTTTTATCTTGATGACTTGACAATTCTGTTTTATTTCTTACAGAAAAGCTCGCAGAGGCTCAGCGCAGGTTTGCCACCCTTCAGAATGAGCTTCAGTCATCACTGGATGCGCAGAAAGAAAGCACTGGTGTCACTACGCTGCGACAGCGCAGAAAGCCAGTCTTCCACCTGTCTCATGAGGAACGTGTTCAACACAGGAACATTAAAGACCTTAAACTGGCCTTCAGCGAGTTCTACCTCAGTCTTATCCTGCTGCAGAACTATCAGGTATTTAGATTCTTACCCTGGAGACTGGAACCTTTCCATAATTGAGATACTATAATAAGTGGAATTACCTTGAGCTGTACTAATGGGCCAATCCAGAAAGGGAAATCCTTACAATGCCATTATTCTTTAGGTTCTTACTGGGATTTCTGATGTTCTTACTGGCTAAAACCATGTTATCAAAAATGGTCAAATAGTGTAATAAGACTTCTGTTTTTGAGAATCAGCTTTGTAAAACCTTTTTGTACAATACTCAGGAGCAGCCCTTGACACAAGGACCAGTAGTTTGCTTGCTATGTTTAGAGGCATCTCTGGCCATGATGAGTAGAAATCAGAACTAATATGTCTATCCAACCATTGCTGGCTATGTAAGAGCTTCTATATCCTACAAACCTATAGTGAGATTTCCATAAATGCAGTTAGACACTTAACTTTCCTGCAGCTAACACTAATAGTATAAAAGATACTATTTAACTTGCCACTAAGAATCCTTTCAGTTTTGTTAATCACAGGCTGCAACATAACTAGCTGTTCTAATCTTGCAATAAAACCAATTAAATCACAGCAAATGTTTATACAGACTGAACATCTAAGCTATTATATCACTTAGCATTTTAAAAATCCAATCTGAAAAATTGAACTACCATGTCTGCAATAGTTTGGAATTGCAGGACATTTATTCATTAGTAATTCTTTATAGATGTGTTCATATAGTTAAATCTATAAAGAATTTATTGAAAAATATGATTTGTTCAATAATAACCATTTAAATTAAGCAAAAACATGCTTCTAATCTTTAGAGAGACATTATGCACTATTCTTTTTCCATTTTGTTCTTGTGATTATTACTGCTAATCAGTGGTTAGAATCATCACAGGGTTATATAGTGTATAAAAACTAAAGATTATATAACAAAAGTATTATCGGGGTAAATACTGGACTTTTAAAATAAGAAGTCAATATAGTCTCATATCTGCAGTGATCTAAGTTGTTAATCCATGTACTTATTTCTGTCTTTTATAATTCTGCTTTCTTCTTTGGTGGGTTAATACTTTATAATGGAAAGAACCACCCAGTTGGAAAGTAATGTTTGAAGACTAAAAAAATAATTACATAAAATATATATGAAAAGAAATTCCTTTCTTTTGAAATTTATCCATAAGCTTTATAATTTATTTTTGAAAAGAAAAAATAGATCTCTTTCTTATAAAACATTAACATTTTATATTTTATTAATTATGCTTGTGTATTACAGGGAAATACCTTTGTTAATTTTTTTAACTTTTCCAGAAGCTTTTCTTTTGGGTCATTATAAAAAGTTGCTTGGGAAAACAAAAATAATTGTTATAAAAGTTTTGATCTGTCCTCTATTCTTTGAAGCTGTTTATTCCATAAGAATACATTCATTTTGAGAATGAGGAGAAAGGGAAGTTAATGGAAAACAGTCTATAAGTCATGGGGTATGCACCCAAAGGAGAATTTAAGGTGATCCATTAAAGTATGAGCAAAAATTATAAGCAAGAAAGCAAAGCCTATTTTGGAGTGAGCTCTCATTTTTTTACTAATGGGGATATGTGCTCAACAAATTTGGGAGACCTCTGGTTTAAAGAGCCTTGTAAGTCAATGGTTTCCTGCTTTTTTGCATGTTGATCAAACAACAGAATTTGAGAATGTAAAAAAGTAGGATTTTGATATTATAGAAATGAAGGGAAAATATTAGCTTCTCTCCATTATCAGGAAAACTATGTAAGTATGATCACTTCTTTTCTACGACTCTTCTTTGCAATCCCACCCCCAAACTGAGAATGGATGGAGGCAAAATGAAAGTTAAAAGAAATAGATGATCTTTTTTTCATGCTGGTTTTTAGATGCTTGTATAACAGTGGGAGCAAATGCATACCTATACCAGTCCTTCAAAAAGCAGAGAACTTATAAATGTATTCAGTATGTGATCAGTCTGAAATATTTTTTGAAAATATTCTTCTGATCAAAGAATAAACATAAATTAGCTAATTTGAGAGTAATTGTTCATAGGAAAATGGAAACAAATGTTTTGAGTTTAGGACTTCTATTAATTTACTTGAAATAGAAATAATAGGGTTTATATTTAGGGTTTCTTTCTATTACTGGTAGAATACTACCTTGAAATGAATAAATAAAATAAGAAGAGTCTTATCCTTTCAGTAAGTGCTTTTATAAAGCATTGTCGTTTCCTTTGGTACTCAATCTTCAAGTAAGCTCTGTGTGCACATAGTGCTGGTTATTTTTCATCTTCTTTTATGGTGGTGGAAATTATAGTAGTATTTCTCATTTTTTTTTTCCTGTAGAATCTGAATTTTACAGGGTTTCGAAAAATCCTTAAAAAACATGACAAGATCTTGGAAACATCTCGTGGAGCAGATTGGCGAGTAGCTCATGTAGAAGTGGCCCCATTTTATACATGCAAGAAAATCAACCAGCTCATCTCTGAAACTGAGGTATAGTAATCTGACTCATATGCCACATACTTTCAATTCCTTGCATATCTTATTTTTAATGAAATAATTCCCCATTTCTGTTCTCCTTTATAATGGACTCTAACTTTGAATATATACATATACATGGTCTGGCCGAAGTAAGGCCTGCTTCAGTGTGGTTGGTAGGGTTAATAATATGGATGTAATAATTTATAGTTTTAATTTAAACCTTTTACCTAAAATGTCATATGGTATGCCTGAGTATGATATTGTTATGTTACAGGATTACATGCTTATGATTTTGTAATAAAACTTTTTATAATAAAAGGGGGCATTATTTGTTCCAGACCCTGTATTCTTACTCATGATTTTATTCTTTTACTTAATCAGTACTCATTCACCAAGAGGTTATCAAAGTACTATATATATATATATATATGTATATATATATATAGTACTTTGATGCTTATGATTTTGTAATAAAATATAAAAAAGGGGGCATTATTTGTTCCAGACCCTGTATTCTTACTCATGATTTTATTCTTTTACTTAATCAGTACTCATTCACCAAGAGGTTATCAAAGTACTATATATATATATATGGTTCAGAATTGTTTATGCATTACTCGAGTTTACTATAACCTGTGTCAAAATTTAGTAATGTCTTTCTAGGCCGTAGTGACCAATGAACTTGAAGATGGTGACAGACAAAAAGCTATGAAACGTTTACGTGTTCCCCCTTTGGGAGCTGCTCAGGTTAGTATTTGTTTCTAGTTATTTGGTTGGATTTCCCAATTTAATGATCAGTAATCAGTTTAGCTGATAAAATATACTGATTTTATTACTTTAAAAAATGTTTGAAAGTTTTTAAGTAGTTAATACTGTTGTTATTTTGTATTAAAAAATTAGATGCCAGATCTTACTTCATAATGAATTATAATGTCTTCCCAATCCAATACTGCCTCTTCTTATCCTATACTTTTTTATTTTTATTGATACGCTAACTTGATGGTCTCACCAAGTGATTAAGATGAGATGTGTATTTAATGATGGGGGTATCAGATGTGCTGGGCTATCATATAGCTTATACAGAATACAATAGTTAAACCTAAAAGAAGCATTTTTAAATAATATTTGTTATACCAGAAAACATTTAAGTGATCTTCTGTGTCATAAAACAAGTCTCAATAAACTAAAAAGGATTTAAATCATAGAAAGTATGTTCTCTGACCACAGTTGAATGGAAATCAATAACAGAAAGAGCTTTTTTTAATCTCATCCTAATAAAAGGCATTTACAAGAAATCTATAACTAATATCATATTGTACTTAATGATGAAACACTGAATGCTTTCTCCCTAAGAATAAAGAAAGATATTAACTTCTCTTCAGCATTGTACTGGAGATTATAGCCAGTGCAGTCATATAATAAAAAGAAATAAGAGGCATTCAGATTAGAAAGAAAGAAGTAAAATGGGTGGGGGGTTTTTTGCCAATGACATGATGACCTAGGAAATCCAATGAATTAAGAGACTAGGTAGTAGAACTAGCAAGCTTAGCAAAATTGCTGAATACAAGATCAGCATGTAAAAATCAGTTATATTTCTATATACCATCATGAACAATTGGAAGTAAAAATTTTAAAAAGTAATGCAATTTATGATTAAAGCATGAAATATTTAGGGATAAGTATAATAAAAGATGTTCAAGACCTCTAAATAATACTCAAATCTCTCCTATAAGAAAATCAGTGTATATATAATTTGAAGCCTAAAATTATAATCTTGTTTATTTAGTGACTCAGATTTCTGTAAAAGAATTCAAATAACTGGCAACACTATTCTAGTATTATAGAATAATGCTTTGGATTTATATAAATACATACCATAAAATATTTTTGTTTTCATGGTAGAACTTTGAGGCTTATGCTACTGATTTATGACAGCATATTCTAAATGTACTTAACATTTTACCCTGTACCCAAAATTCTGTTTTTCTGTCCATAGCCTGCACCAGCATGGACTACTTTTAGAGTTGGCCTATTTTGTGGAATATTCATTGTATTGAATGTTACCCTTGTGCTTGCCGGTAAGTAAGTAGGTTAAATTTTGAATTAAATTATTTTTACAAATATGCCTATGTCATATTCTGTCCTTCTGTTAAACTTACTACCAAACTACCAAAGCTATTGAAAGAGAAATCTGTTAGGGCTGAGTTTTTGTTCTTATAAATAAGTGAGGGTGGGAGAAGTCATTTGTTTTGGTTTGTTTTTCTCCCCCCCCCCTTTATTTATTTATTTATTTATTTATTTATTTATTTATTTATTTAACTTTTTTTTTCCCCCAAAATACATTTGTCTCTGCCTACCCCCCACCACTTTCCCTTGGTTTGTTTTTCCCTTAGAGTATATTATCCTTTAAAACTGCTAGTTGATGTCTTCTAGTTCTCCATCATTTTCCAGTGTTTATGTACAATTTCTTCACACTTCTTCAGTGCTCAGTTTTCAAGAACCTTAGCTCCTTTGATCACAGATGAGATTAAATAAGATACTACAAATCATGTACTAATTTATTTACTTTACATTTTGGAGACTCTTTCACATCTTTTCCAGATTCTACTTACAATTACTTTGCATGTAGTTTTAAGAAGCTTGGTTATATAATTTCCTATTCTATAGAAGTTAAAAATTAAAAGAGGTAGTAGGAATTGCTAGAAGCAAGTACACTTACAATATCACAAAATGATATAACAGCAAGAGAGGCACAATCTTTCTAAACCTGCCAACAGAAACATGGAGCATTGTCGATCACTCCTCCTCAAAGTTTTTCTTCAATTAGTTTTGCTGGAAGACCACACTCTACTGGTTTTTCTATTATACTTCACTGGAAATTCTTTCCCGGTCTCCAGTGCTAGCTGGGTTTGTTGTTGTTGTTGTTGTTGTTGTTGTTGTTTTGTTTTCTTTGCGACATCTAAATGTTGAGGAACAGTACTGGGCTCAGTCCTCAAATCTCTTTCTCTGTCTACATGTATTTACTACCTAGGCAATCTTATTCAGACCCATGACTATAAATACCATCTATATAATCATGACTCCCAAGTATACATACATACTCTTTCTTCTATTTAATTGGCTACTTGGATGACTAGTAGGCATCTCAAACTTAACATGGACAGTTTTTTTTGTAACCCTCAAGTACCCTTATTCTTTCATATGACATCACCTTTCATCAGTTTCTCAGGCCAGAAACCTTTAGCCACTCTTTTCCCCTATACCTCCTCTCTAGTCCATCAGCAAATCCTGTTGCTCTGTCTTCAAAATATATTCTGAATCTGACCACTTCCACCAGTGCCAGCCTTAACATAGTCCAACAGCCTTCTGAACTTGTCTCCCTGCAACCTCTTGTGGCTCCTTATAGCCACCACTGTCTTTCTTTAAAAATAAGTTACGTTACATCAATTTCCACTTCAAAATCCAGTAATGGCTTCTCTTACGATATTATTGAAACTTCTTACTACAGCGTATAGGACCCTACAGGAGCTCGCCCCATGGGCCTTTCTGGCTTTACATCCTGTCATCCCCCCCACACTCAGTTCTGCTCTGTGTTTAACCATTCTTGTGTTGTTATTACTTGAACACTCCAGGTTCATTCCCATCTACAAGCCCTTGCAATTACCTAAAGGGCTCTTCCCCAATATGTTTACTCTTCCTCCCTCACTTCATTCATATAATCTCAATTGAAATGCCACCTCCTCAGTAAGGCCTTTGTGATGATCCTACCCTAAAATAGCTTGTTCTGTCCCTTTAGCCTACATTAGTTTTCTTCAGAGCACTTGTAATTACATGGCATAGTATTTCATATTTATGTTTCTCAATATCTGTTTTCCCAGTGGAATGTAAGTTCCTTGATGCCTGCCAATTTCTCTCCTGTTCACCATTGTATTTCCAGCATGTAGAACACTGCCTGGGACATAGTAGGAGTTCAAAAAATATTGGTGGAAGTTCGAATGGATGGCAGAGAAAAGACCAAGACACCTCTCTCTCTCTCTCTCTCTCTCTCTCTCTCTCTCTCTCTCTCTCTCTCACACACACACACACACACACACACACACACACAGAAAAGACACATCTCAAAGGTTCTTGCATTTAAAGACTTTTACTTTAAGGGCAAACTATCCTGGTGTACCTTGAGAGCCTTTGTTCTTACCCTTATAATGATAACTGTGATTCATGAATAAAGGATTAAATTCTACTCAGTGAAGCCTGCAAACATACATGACTTAAAACTAGATGTTATTGTATAAATCTTCATTATACTCTGTTTTGGACTTTTAGTACTCATAATAATGCAAACACTGTGTATTTTTCATTTTTGTATTTCAAGTTCCTAATACAGTGTCAGACACATAGAAGGTGTTTAAGAAATAATTTTACTGAACACATTATTCCTCAAAAACATTAAGATTGTCAATTGCACATTATCAAATTTTAACCCAAGTTGTAATGGCTTTTAGAGAGTATATGAACTTTATTAATATGTTTTTATTCGTGTTCTTAGAGCTCTCTTTCAATTACTAAAAATTAACTAATAATGTCTACATAAGCTCAGGATTTAATATTGATATAATTTATAATCATATTTTAATCTAGTTTTATTTCTTCAGATAAATGCAATCCTTGTATAGAATGTATGGAACTATTACAATAAAAATCTAGCCCTAGATGATCAAGCTAGCTGTGGGGAAAGAACACTTACTGGTCATCAAAAGCCTTACCTGTGCTTTAGCACCAACTCTACTGTTTGTTAACTATTTTGGCTTTAAGGATATCACTTAACTGCTCTGTTTCAGAGCAGTTAAGTTCTTCATTTGTTAAGTGAGCTTAATAACTTCAATGTACAGGGTTGTTTCAAAATTCATTCATTCAGCAAGGAAATTTTATATATCTCACAATTATGCTTGACACCCATGAGTCTTACAATAGATAAAGAATCCCTTTCTTATGAAGCTTTTCATTGTGCCAGAGAGAGTAAGACATATATTAAAACAATAATACACAACAAGATAGAAAGTGTTAAATGTTCTAAGCAGGTCAAAGGAACAACAATTACTTTAAAATGATAGCATCAGAAAGCCTTTATGGAAGAAATGACATTTATACTAGACATTGATTGAATGAAAGACATTTCAAGAGAAGGAGACACATGAGCAGAGATTTTAATTTTAGTTGGCCAGGACAGGGGATGGGGCATAGGAAGGAGGGAGTGGGTTATGAAAGAGAGGAGTGGTTTATTTATCTAGGGCAAAGGAGAGTATTACTAGATGAGAAGAATGAAAAGATACAGTAGCTAGAGATCAGTTGATAGATTTTAGCTAAGAAGTGAAAGTAAAGCATGTTTTTGGTTGGGAAGCACTATATCAGTATATAAGGTGTGTCCAAAAGGTATCCAGCTATGCACTATGAAAAATAGAGACATTTATTGAAGAAGATACAAGATACAAGAAACATTGTACACAGGGCAGTCATGCCTCAGTCCCCTTCAAAGTAAGCACTTTGGGGCCTCACACAATTTTCCCAGTTGCCATCAGCTGCCCTGTTCTATTTCCCTGAATCTCATCAATGGTCTGAAATCTCTTTCCTTTCAAAGGTGAGTTCAGTTTTGGGAAAAGCCAGAAACTGCAGGATGCCAAATCTGGTCTGTAGAGGAGCTGAGTCACCTGGGTGATTTGATGTTTTGCCAAAAAACTCTAGGAGATGGGATGCATGAGCAGGCACATTGTCGTGATAAAGCTGTCAATCACCGGTTGCCCATAACTGCGGCCTTCTGAATCATCCAGATAGTTTCTGTAGAGGAATGTTCAAGTTTAAAGCGAAATTTGTTGCAGATTCATTGCTCTACTGGCTCAGTCGTTTTGAATGCAAAAGCCACACAGTACACATGCTTTTAGTCAAGGGCACCTACTGCCATCCAATGACTAGTACAATGAAGTTGTCATTGTTCACACATGCACATTTCAGTCCACTCTCCTTGGCTACCAGGCTACATTGATGTTGCACAAACTGTTCTTCTTACATTAACAATGGCTGGACTTTTTCCGAACAGTCCTTGAATATGGGTGTATGTATTGGGAGTTGTTCTTTCCGTAGGGAAAACCTTAGTCATTCGTATGTGGAATTTTTCTTTTTATTTCCAAGATGAACATAGTACTATTATTATTAAATAAGACATAAGAATAAATAAACTTCATTCTTTTTATGTGAATGAATTGAAAAGAAGTTTTTTAAAATTCAGGGACAAGTTGAGGTTTTATTTTCTTTCATAAATACAGATTAAGTTTTTGTGAGACACTCGGAGTTGTTTTTTAGAGTGTGGTATATGCATTTAGTGTTGTGCATTATGTTTCTCACCTCAGAGCCCTTCTTTGTTTGATCTGTGTGTTTGCATGGGAGAGGCAGGGTAAATATAGTTAAAACCAGCTGTCTATTCTTATTTATCTCCCAGCAGGTGCTTAAAAGATAACAGTGTTGAGAGAGAAACACAGCAGTAGTAATGCATGCACAAGCATGATTCTTTTTTCAAACATTCACATCAAAAAATAGTGTGCAAAAAATAGTTTCTCAAAGGGACATGACCTGATATTTAATAATTTGTCTCAAATTTAAGTACATATTTCATATATTTGCTTTTATGAAAATGAAAAATTACCTGTTTAGGTTTTTTTAATCTTGTTTTAAAGATTCCTAACAACCTTAATTTAACACAGTAATGATATACTTGTTCCTTTGCAGTCTATCTTCACATAACCAGTAGAGTAGCCCTTTGAAATTACTAATCTCGTTATGTCACTTTTGTGCAAAATCTTTAATTGGCTTTATACATAAGAATAAAAGCTTAGGACATCTTGACAAAGATGTCCTACCTGACCTGCCCCTGGCTATATTTTTTACCACTTTATCTCTCATTTATTCCCGACATAGTGACCTTGGCCTTCTTCCTGTTCTGGGAGGATACCACGCTCATATCTATATTAGGGCCCTTTTACTTTCCCTTTATTTGGAGCTCTACCCTTCAGATATTCACATGATTCATTCTCTGTTTTTTAAGGGAATGCAAATGGTCTACAAATACCATATCCTGATAGGTCTTCTTGACCATCCTACTTAAAATAGCACATAACATCATTCTTTATCTTCTTACTCTATATTTTTTTTCTTCAAAAATTTTATCACCATCTGACATTGTACAGAACAGAAGTTTCCTGAGACAGGTATTTTGTCTGTTTTTTATTAGAGTCCCCAGGTCTTAGATTTGTGTCACATATAATAAGCACCTAATAAATGTCAAAGTAATGAAAAAATGAAATTTTGTCAAGTAAAAGGGAAAAACATGATATATACTGAATACCCATAATGGACCAAACACTGTTTTAGTCATTTAATATATGTTGTTCACATTTCATCTTCTTAACAGAATTTTAAGAATAGTTGTTATCCCCACTGACCAACAAGGAAACTGAGACTTTGAAAAATTAAATAATTTGCCCTAGTATCACTGGGATTTGAAATCTGGTTTATTATATTTGACTCCAAAGCAAAGGCTTTCTCTACCCTGTATTTTTAAATTATTAAATGTGCTATACATTATAGAGAATACAAAGTTAAATAATAAATTATTGTTTATATGAAATAAGTGTATAGGGTAGTACAGTATATAATTAAATATCAAATGAATGGTACTCTCGATATATTTTATAGTTATTTGGAAAAATTGAGAAATTGGTAGCCAAATTGAAATGTTTGGCACATAGTAGGCTCTCAATGAAACATATTGGTTCAGTGAATTTATGAACAGATAAGGACCTGTCTCTTAAATAATCAGTAGAATTTGAATTGTTGGAAAGAAAGGGCAAGGCCCTTTTATGCACAGAAGACAACATAAGCAAATGTGAAATGAGCATTTGGTAAAGTGGTAATAAAGCTCATCAGGAGAGAAGAATTAAAATGTTCAGAGGGACTGTGAGATAAGTTTGGGAAAATTGAGTTGGAGATCAGATAGTGGAGAACTTGAATTGGGAGGCTAAAGTGTTTGAATGTAGAGATACTGAACATCTGTATGGGCATATGGGCAACAGAATGTAGTGGCGAAGAGTATGGGCTTTGAAGCAAAACTGAGTTAAAATCCTGGCTCTCCCATGTACTAACTTATTAACCCTGATCAAATTACTTAACCTGTCTGTGCTGTAGTTCCCTCATCAATCAAATGACAATAGTAGTTTTTAACTCACAGAGCCATTGTGAGGATTAGATGAATTACTGAATTGTATCTAAAGATACTAAGAACAACCCTTAGTACATGGTAAGCATTCTGTGAGTATTAACTGTTTTTTATATCACTTTTTAATTTTCACATTGTCATTGTGTGAATTATTTTCTTTAATTTTCACAGCAACTCTGCAAAGTAGGTATTACTATATCCAGTTTAATGATGAACAAAACAAAGCCAAAGAAGTTGTGTCATGCCTGAAAATCCCCAGCCAACAGAACTGATGTTACGATTCTAAACTATTTTACCTTGATTCTCTCTGTAATCTAGAAACTAATGGAAAAATGAACTAACATTCTAATAGTCAAATTTTAGAAAAGTTTTTCTCATGGGATTTTGCAGAGGGAAATGAAAATGGGAAAGAACCTAGAAGCAGGTTTATAGGCTCTTGAGGTAATCTAGATTTAGGTTTTATTTATTTAAAAGCAATTCCTGTGATAGGGCTGTATCTTTGAGAATTGAGAGAAAAGACAATAAAGGAGATATTATGAATATTCTAACTAACCAATTAATTGATATTCTTTCAGCTATATTTAAACTTGAAACAGATAGAAGTATATGGCCCTTGATAAGAATCTATCGGGGTGGCTTTCTTCTGATTGAATTCCTTTTCCTACTGGGCATCAACACGTATGGTTGGAGACAAGCTGGAGTAAATCATGTGCTCATCTTTGAACTTAATCCAAGAAGCAATTTGTCTCATCAGCATCTCTTTGAGGTAATTGAAGCGAGACAGAAAGTCCCACAAATAGAGTTTGCATTAGCTGTACAGCTGGTTTAGTGGGTGCTGAAATCCATCTTCTGCTGTAAGAGGACTGTTGACTTAATAACTAAACACTTCCTTACCTTCCTTTTAATAAAGAGATTCTGAGTAATGGTAAAAATAAAAATGACAATTTTTTTCTCTTTTTCCATCCTTTATCAGATTGCTGGATTCCTTGGAATATTGTGGTGCCTGAGCCTTCTGGCGTGTTTCTTTGCTCCAATTAGTGTCATCCCCACATACGTGTACCCACTTGTTCTTTATGGATTTATGGTTTTCTTTCTTATCAACCCCACCAAAACTTTCTATTATAAATCCCGGTTTTGGCTGCTTAAACTGCTGGTAAGTCCAGAAATTTGTGTTTCATTTTTAGAGTGATGTGTTGGTCATTGGCTTCCTTCAGGGTGAAACCCCGGCTGCTATGCTGTGCAGCTGCGGGTGGCGTGCTTCCCCTTGTAATCCACGTGAGTGGGGCCTAGCTTTACAGACAGAGAACATGATAGACCTGATGTTATAGCCCAGTGTCTTTGCAAAAGCACACATGCGTTTTTTTCCTTTGAAAATGGAGTATGAAGTGTCCAGGTACTGAAATGATTTTGCAAATTAATAATTCATGATTAATTTAGTTACTTCATTATACAGATTATTTAATCAGCTCTGTTAACATGTCAAACTCTGTAAGTTTCCTTTTCTTAACAAATAGCAAAATTTTATTTTTCTTTTAATATAAATAGAATACCATTTTTATTTTATGAAAAGTTGGTTCTCTAAAAGTATTAGGAATATCTTGGCAGATCAAGTTTAATTTGAGAAACTAACTTGGATTCTTTGTTTATAATAAATTTTATTTCTTCTTCCACTTCTTAATGATCTCAGTGCAGTCTCAATATTAACATGTAGAATATAGTATTAGGATATGTAAAAATGGTAGCTGTATTTTTTTTGTGTATGATAGTATAAAGTTAACTCTGGGAAAAGATTTCTGCTTACTCTTAAATTAAACCAGCTCTGTATTGAAAATCAATTTGGAATGCTTTCATATAATTATTTCTTAGATTATAAATTACAGCTAACAGAAGAATGAAGATTAGTGATTAAGTCAGTCAATCTCTATTCAAACTTTCAAAATTCCCACAATTATTGCCTATTTCTTTTTTCTTTAGGGTTAGCAGATTTTTATTGTTGTTCTTAACAATAAACTCCCTATATATAGCATTAACTAAATTTTTAAAAATCTGAAGACATAAAATACGGCCTTCCTATTAAAGAAAACATAATTAGTACTCAACAAATAAAAAGCAACCTATGTGTGAATATAGGTGAGTATTTATAGCATTGAGGAAAAGAAAATGGCCCAAATCTTGATTTCTTTTCCCCCAAAGTTGATTGTTTTTTATTTGTATTTTTTATTTCTTATTTTTTCCACTAGAACTTTTTAAATTACACATTGAAAACCTTCTTTTCCTCCAATTTCATTAAATACAAATAAATAAAAAATAATTTCCTTTAAGAATAGCACCACTAGGCCTAACTTTGGGGTTGAATTCCAAGTATGGAACTTAAATGTACAAGAATATTTTGATAAGTCATAAGTATACCATTGCATTTAATAGGTTTATTCATTATTTTGAAAACATAACTTTTTGAGGATTTTTTAAGATGAATATTTGAGCCATTTATGTGTCTCTTGAAATCTATACTGAAGTCATTTCCAGTTAGTACATTATTATATTAACTTTTTTATTTAAGATTATTTGTCAATTTATTGCTAGATTTTGTGGAGTTTTAAAACTTATTATTTGGTTACAAGGAAATAACTAAGATTATAAACACCTATTGTTTTCGGCCTCAGAGTGAAATCTCTATATAGTTATTTTGAAATAAGGTTTGAAAGACTCAGAAAACTCAGGTGTTAATATGATTTTATCATTGCAATAACAAAGTAACACAGTTGTGTACATTGTATGCTAAGTGAGCATTTCCCCAGTGCATCCTTCTTTGTTTAAATAGTAAGTTGTGATTCTTGCATGACCAGTTAAGCTTTTAGCAAAATGATTCCCTGTTGAGTAGACGTTTATCTATGCATCTGCTGTGTGCTAATAAATGAGCACTTTTTGATGGAATAGGTTGGCAGTGATAATATAAGAAGAAATAATAGAATAATAAAATGTGCCATCAGAAGCAGTAAAATACAGAAGGAAGCACTGTGATTTGTTACCTGTAATAATAATTGTAAACAGGAAAATGTTGTTTATAGATCATTTTAATGATAATTGACCTGTCAACTTACATAAATTCAAATCTCACTGAGAAAACTTATCCTTAAACTTATTTCTAGTAAATTTACAGGAATATTTCCACCCTAGTTATGTTTTTCTTATGTTCTCTTTTTAAAACCTCATCCTGAAGTTAAACTATATTTCCTTTCTTCTTCTTTAATTTTTAGTGGGAAAAGAATGTCACTTGGCCATAATGGTAGACGTTGGGCATCATTTATACCCATAATTAAATTTGAATCAAATTAATACATGCTACTTTCCTCCCCGAAAAAAGCTTAAAACTTTTTTTTAGGAAATGGACCTGTTTTGAAATTGTTTTATGTCAAATCAGTAGTTTTTGGTTTTGTTTTCTTTTTACATTTGTTAAGTCATACATACATCTTCTCTCCAGATGTGTATTTGCCCAAATTGGAAATCCAATTAGGAAGCATAAGGAGTGACTGAGATTTTCTAAAACAAAAATATCTTACTCTTATAGAAGGCTACTTGAAGTTATTAGAGTACTTTGCTACATAATTTGGGAGTCATTTTTTTCAATATTTTCTTTAGTGTATAGTAAAATTTTTACCCATCTCTACTATAAGAATAGATTAGAGATGTGTTCTTATATAATAATACACTATTCTGGACATCCTTTTAATAAACCATGAAGTTGTAGCTGCTGTTAATCCACATCTCATAAATGAAGAAACCTAGATTCAAAGAAGTTAAATGAGGTCACACAATAACATAGAGATGGGGTGTGAGCCCAGGCCATCTGGTTTCATAATCTGTGCTGTTGAACGCTACTGTTTAACAGCTAGACCTGGTAGTTACTTTATTGAAGATGTTTAATTTTGACCGAGTGTATCAAACTAATGAAATATAAAAATCAAATTTGGAAAGAATGTGCTTACTCACAAGCCTCTAAAACGTAGAAATTAAAACTTCATTTCCTTAACCATTTATCTGCATTAACTTAGAAGATGTTAGCATATGTCCTTTGTATTAACTTACTAGTGGCTTTCTTTGTATATATGGATAAAACACCGAATATCCAGAACTGTCTCTAGCTTTCTTAATACTATTACTCACTGGATTGTTATAATTTTAATCAAAATCAGAAAGTAGAAATTGGAGGACCTTAGCCTGAATAAGAAAGAAAGAAGGAAAATTCTCACTCAAAAGGCGGAATTCAGATAAATCTAAGATGAATTTGACTCTGTGTAAATGTTAGGGAATAAAGTAGCATCTATTTATTTTCTACCACCACCTCATCCTTATCTTTGACTGAGCTACTTGCTCCCCCCTTTTTTTTTTTATTTCCACGGTATTTTGTATGTTTATCTATAATAACACTTACTACGCAGTACTCTTCATTATCTCTCTAGGTGTTTATTTGCCCAACCAGACTATGATTTGCCCAATCATCACTTTTAGGTCTTTGAGAGTAGAGACTATATTTTTAATTTATGTCTATATCTCTACAATGCCTGACGTATAGTAAATAGTTAATAAGCCTTTGTTAAATGCATGAATGACTATAATTATATTTTTCCTTCATTAGTTGTATTATACCAACATTTATTACCCCCTTCTTTCTTCTTTTCTTCATCTTCTCTCTTCTGTCCCTTCCTTCCAGTTTCTATTTTCATGCCACTCCCTTCTTTTTTCAGTCCCATCCCTCTCTCTCTCAGTTTCTGATTTAATGCATTTTCCTCTTCTGCTCTTATGGAGGTTTTCTGTGTTACCCAGGTTTTGAGGCTGGGTTTGGCAGATCGTGAGAGTGATAGTAGTATGTCTCATGTTAGTGAGAAATCAAAAGTTTGTCCTAGGCAACCAATTTCACAAAATGACTAAAAGTTTAGTTAGACTTTCTGATCCTTTGGTGTTGTAGTCTAAATTATCCTCTTGTTTTTCTGTCTCTTTGAATCTTTTAAGTCTGTTCTATACCCTTGACTCCCTTAAAATACCATATAAACAGGTACCAGAACCTTTTCATGCATAAATAGCTAACATCTCAAACCCCAACTGCCCCCACCCCCAAAAAAAGTTTGCTGTACCTGGAGCTTATGGTTGCAGACAATATAGCTTGTCGCTCTGGCTTAATGCACAACTTTCTGAAAGAGCAAATGAGTGATCAGGAAACCAAGCTGCGGACTCAAAATATATCAGCACCAGAACATAATGTCTCAAAGTCTGAATTATGTCCTGCAGACACCTGTTCTTACTTCCAAAGTTCCAAGGCAATACCTGTCACAGGTATTTGACACACAGGATTGATTCATAATAAAGCCATTTATCTCCCTGAAATAATAAAGGGAAATATTTAGAGAAAGAATAGGAAAAAAATCCAGCCAAGTCTAAGAGGAAAGAGCCATGGTCTTGGGCTGAACATGTCTACTAAATGAATATAGGTAGATGGCAGGAGAGCTACCGATTTATTTTCTCAAAACTGCTACTTAGAATGTCTTGTTTTAGGAGTCCATTTTCACCTGTACTAGGTAAAAAGGGTCTGACAGGGTGAAGATTAAAGCTGCCTTTATCCTATCTTCACTCAAATCCTCTCAAGGCATTCTGCACAATTTAAGGTTATTTCTAGTGATTACATTAGTATCTAATCATGCCTCTCTCTGCAGTGCCTGGATCTCTTTGCAGTAGTTAACAGGCTTCCACTGAAGAGGTCAGGATGGGTTTGTTGTAGGTCTTTTGTAAAATGGAGATATGAGTAATACCTATCTCATAGAATTGTTATAGTTAGTGGATTATGAGAAATGCATTATGAGAAAAACACACAGCATGGATTAGTGCTCAGTACATTTAACCTGAATTCATTGTTTTAGTAACAGTAGGATAAGGGCTGGTTTTTCTGGCATAATTTCAAGACAAATACAGTTATCACCGTGGCATTAATGAAATGAAAGTGATTTTGGTTAGAGAAGGCATGCTTCAAACAATGAGATGAACCATCCCTTCCCTTACTGTCAATACTGCGTAGGCAAAAGAGAGCCTTGTATTTTGTTCATTTAGCAAAGCTTCCATCCAGCTAAGATGGGAGAACATTTCAGAAATTATCATAACACATGGGTCTCCAGCAAAATTTACCTTAGAGCTTAACGTTAGACATCCTATCAGTACTTCTGCCTTCTGCCACTCTCTGCTTTTGACTTCAGCTCTTCACACTCTCTGCTTTCTATTTTCTAACTGTAGCTATTTCTGCCTTTCCCAACCCTTTCCTTTCTTAGTTATACATTCAACTCATTCCCTTTACTGCTAATTCTCCACCTAGACACTGTTGTCAGGTCCCTGTGTTTGTGATTGATTCATTGGTTTCCATTTTATCAGCTAAAGTAATCATGCTGCATGGTCAGACATGAATTAGAGAAATTTAATATAAATTTTCTTGTTTCTCTGTGTTCCAATTTTTTTTCTTTCTCCCAGTTTCGAGTATTTACAGCCCCCTTCCATAAGGTAGGCTTTGCTGATTTCTGGCTGGCCGATCAGCTGAACAGCCTGTCAGTGATACTGATGGACCTGGAATATATGATCTGCTTCTACAGTTTTGAGCTCAAATGGGATGAAAGTGGGGGCCTGTTGCCAAATAATTCAGCAGGTAGGGTATGAATGTGCATCCACGCTGCTAAACTGCCAATGTACACCAAGAAATATTGGGAATGATAACTGAGCCATTTAAGATCATGGTGAAAACTCATCCAATAATATTACAAACTTAATTAAATGTACTTGGCACTCTTAGAAATCTCATTATCTGATGTAATTTGCCTCTTAAATTACATGTTATGATTTTAGTCATTCATTTGCCAAGAGATTTACAACTTACACTTAAAAGAATTCTAAAACTAAAAAATTCTGGTACATTGGTGGTTATATCAGAAATGCTTTAGTGACAACAATTGCCATCCCAGTATTGCTTCTTAATGATCAAAAATACTGATTATTTAGAGTTAGATCAAGTGCTTTGAGAAAGCTGTTCATCTATTTTTTATCTTACTTGGGAACCTTGTTTTTCTTCTGGTTCTTCTTACCCCACTCCTAGTTTGTTCCAAGAGTTCAAGTTATAAAGAACATTTAAACTTATAAAGAACATTTTGCCTTAATGACAAAGACCAAAGTTAGACAGCTATGTAACATCTGGACTAACAAAAGTTAATGAAACCATTGCCAGTACATTTTCATTGATTGCCAGCAGATAACAATGGTATTGTAGGCTGGTCACACTGTAATACATTACCAGATTTTGAAGAAAGAATTATTTATCAACCCCATTCTTCTCATTTAAAAATACAAACTGCTCTTCATTTAAAAAAGGGGGGAGGTAGTATAGATGCATGAACAGCCTGTAGTAGATATATTATAGTGGTTTGGAGTTCATGAAATTGACTGGAGTCACCAGTGATGTTAATGTGTAGGTTTTCCAGGTGTTTCAAATACAGAGCTAATTTTTTTTCTCTTTAACTAATATACTCATCTTCTAATTTTATTATGGTTTTACCACACTCCAGGGAAATGATTCCAGAAGAGATAGTAAGAAACCTGAGATGGCAGATTTTCTCATTAGGTTCCCCCTATGTATTTTACCTTTTCTCTTGGGCTTATTTACCACTAAAAAGTTTGAGAATAAAATAGTTGCAAAGAAGAAAGTGATTCTGATACCCAGGCGTCTTGATTTTATGGACTTGCTGGTAATTACAATATATGACTAAATAATGTGAACAAGTTATTTTTTTAAATTGTAAATTTTTCCTCTTTGAAATCTTCACAGAGCCAGAAATTTGCCACAAATATTCATATGGTGTGCGGGCCATTGTTCAGTGCATTCCTGCTTGGCTTCGCTTCATCCAGTGCCTGCGTCGATACCGAGACACAAAAAGGGCCTTTCCTCATTTAGTTAATGCTGGGAAATACTCTACAACTTTCTTCATGGTGACGTTTGCGGCCCTTTACAGCACTCACAAAGGTATTCTATGATTGATTCGGAAGAGATTGTTCAGAACCCGGATTTTCACTCCTTATGTCGGTTTCTTACTCTGCATACTTTTCTAGTGAAATTCCAGTCTCCTCAGCCATACTAGTTTGTTCCTGAACATGATTTTAGTCTTATTCCAATATTTACTAACAGGTACCATTAAAAAGAATAAAAGTCTTCTGGCATAGGAGGATTTGTGATAACATTTGAAATCCTGAATTATGTTTAATGGGTTCAGTCTTTGGACACTTCAGGTTTTCATTTGGTTTTTTAGATTTGTTCATTAATGAGGTTGGGAAATGCTAGGTGAAAAAAAGTCCCTGTGGCAATCATGTATATTTTTAATCGCTTTCCTTCACCAAGTTGTAAGGAGTGTTTCCAGCCCATTTAACTGCAAATTGAGTTCTCTGATCTCTCTAGTTTCTTATCTCCATGGCAACCAGTTATTACTTGAGATTGCTCTTATGTTGGGAGGAGAAAAAAGCTTTTAGTTCTGAGCCACATGCAGTCATGGCTTTTGAATTTTTAACCTTTTTCGAAGAACTGTCTATCAAAGATCTTGCTTCCTTTTACTAAAGTGCATTCCTTCTTTGTCTGTGTAAGTCAGTGTCAGCCCACACCTTAGAGCCTGCACTGTATCATCAGTGGGCAGCAAAGAAATGCTACTAAATGAAATTATTACCATTCTTTTTAAATACTTTGGTAAATTTTGGGGGTAATTTTTTTTGGAGACTTTGTATTTTGAGAGCCTTTGTGTTCTAGAACTGCTGCTTATCTATATTACGTCTAATGTAATGGTCATGAAAGATTAGGGAGGTGGATTTTTTTGTAAGGCTTGCGATTTGGTCACCAGAATACTTTATAACATATTTCCATTTTTTGCAGTAGATTCTGTGATTACAGTAATATTGGTAATGCAGTCAATAATCTTACCACTGTGTAGGCACTTTTGTTAGATGATCATTTAACTAAGTACCTCTGTGAAGGAAACACATCATCAAAGCTCTCATAATTTTAATTCTTGATGAGGAATGCTGTTACTTAGTTCAGGCATGCATCATGATTTGGTTATTATTAGAGGGTATTACTAGAGAATTTATAAATCAGGCAGCTGATTTGATACATGGTACCATATGACTCAAGATCCTTTTACTTTTCTCCCATTCTGGATAAAAATAAGTACTGTTTTTTGGTTGGATTTTTAGGGCATATCTTCAACTATACTGATACCTTTTAGTAAGAAGCTAAAAATCTGAATTCTTCGAATCTACAAACACTCCAAATTAAAAAAACCTAAGGGTTGAGCAGTGGTTTGGATAGTATCGTAGTCTTCAGACTTTTTTTGCTCATATACCCCTTGAAAGGATTTTTTAAACTATAATTTTATTATTTTAAACGGTTGTTATTTAAACCGTATTACTTCTTTGACATTTTTAAGTTTACATCTGAAATTTCTCACTTAAGTTTAAATAATAAAAATGTATTTTCCAGTATATTTTAAATGTTCACATTTTAAAACAAAACTGCTAAATGTTTTACTAAATGTTTCCAAGTAATCTAAATATAAAAGTATGATACTGACCATGATTTATTTTTTTAATGAATCAATTCTTTAATAGTTACAAAATTTTACATCTATTTCCCACTGAACTGTACTTTAAATTATTAATTTCCTATTACTAGAAAGTGCTACGAGATTAAATTTTTCTTTCTCTCTTGTAATTATCGTTATGCTGGTTATTATCTGTAGTTGATCAAAATAACAAATATATTACAAATTTTAATAATTATTACACATAAACATCTCTTAATGAGATAAATTTATATAACTTGTTAATATTGTATTTTCCGGTTTTTATATAAGTTAACTCTGAGAAACTTAGTTAACATTGCTATATAAACGAGAGTGGAAATTTTGTTGTTGTAATGTCACTCTGTTTTTTTATTGTATTTTCCGGTTTTTATATAAGTTAACTCTGAGAAACTTAGTTAACATTGCTATATAAATGAGAGTGGAAATTTTGTTGTTGTAATGTCACTCTGTTTTTTGGGACAAATCCTGAATTTTGTGACCAGAAAAATTTCATAGTAGTCTATCATCAGTAATTATTTTTAGTGAATTATCAGGATTTTTTGTTGAAAATAACTGAATAAAGTAAGGAATTGAACATAAACTGAGTGGAAAAGGATGTGTTAACTAGTCACTAGAGTCATTCATTTTCTGTTTCCGGACAGTATACCAAAAAGCTTGAGTAGGATCAATATATTTGATTTTAGAGGCTCCTTGTTTAAACAGACATACTTGAGAAATAATTAGGAAAATCAAAATACTGTTAAGTTCAGTAATGTTTGCCAATTGCAGTGTTTCTTTTTTTTTTTTTGATGAAATGCTTTTATCATATCACATTCTTTAAATGTATTTTTTCTCGGGCAGGGGGAGTCTTGGAACTGCAGTTATACTCATTCAGTTTATAGAGAATATCTGCCATACATCCTAGTTAGAAAACAAGTTGGCCATATCAGAAAAAGTTTTGACTTAAAATAACATATTTAGATACACTCCTGTAAAATACCTCTCACTTCTTAATTCTGATTAAGGAGGATAGGCAAGTGGTTAGGTGGGTACTGAGAGAGAGAGAGAGAGGAGAGAGCACACACAAGCAAGCATCATTCAGTACATATTATTGAGAATATTCTATGAATCAGGCTGTGCTAGGCACTAAAAATAGAGCAAAAAATAAAACATGATTCTTGCCCTTAAGAATTTATACTCTACTAGGGGAAATAGTCAAGTTAAAAAGGATAGCTGCTTACACAACAACGTGACTGTACTTAAAACTTCTGAACTGTATACCCAGAAATGGTTAAGATGGTAAATTTTATGCTTATGTGTTTTTTACCATGATACTAATAATTTCAGAAAAGATATTGAAATAAAGGGTAAAGAGATAAGTGAGGTACCGGAACAGCCTGCATAGAGCAGGAGTCCCTGGAAACAGCAGCCTCCAGGCCTCAGGATGGGGAGGACAGAGGAGGCGTTCCAGAGGTTAAGCTGTCTGTGTAGAATTAAGGAAGATTCCACTTACCCCGTTAGGTGTTTTGCCCAGGGCCATGTAATTTGTGAGTGGTGGAAGTGTTGCTGTTTCCTAGTTCTGTTTATCTTTGGCCTAGGACTGTTTTGTTTTCTCTTCCAAAACCACACACTTTACACTTTAAAGTATAAATAATAATATCCTGTTTACTTCACAATTTGTAAGGATTAAATAAGGTAATATACATGAAATCACCTTATGTACTCGAACTTACTACAAAATTGGAATTTATCATTAAATTAAATATAATTATCTTTGCTATATAGAGTTGGTATATGTGTGTCTTTGTGGAAATTCTTTGGAAGAGAAACCCTTTTGATCACCTTGGGTGGGGCCCTTGTATGGGGCAAGTATCAATTACTAATGTGTTTGGCTTTTTATTCAAGAAACACGTTTACTCACTGAACTTGATTCACATGCCCACGGTAAGTTTTTTTAAAAAGCAAGCATTTTTTAGACAGACCATGGGTTATATAACTGAATCATATCACTAAATTTAAAGAAAAACACTCTTTGTAGTTGCTGCATATTAAATATTTATATCACTAATTTTTTTTTTTTACCAAAATGCCTAGAACAGAGGGGAAAAGATTGAAAAGATAGCTCAGAGTGATGACAGAAAATTTGATATTGAGCGATTATCAAAAATGTTATTTGATTTCTGTTGCTTTCTTGGGCAGTATTCCAAGAGAAAAGACTTCAGAAAACATCAACTTTGAAAATAATCATTGGGTCAAAAGAATAGAATCTGTATGGCTAACGAGGCAGATCTTTTTCTGTTGAGTGTGTATGTGTGTGTGCTATTATTGCAAAGGGTAAGTTTTATTTGGGGTTGGGGAGGGGAGAAGAAGGTGAAATAACTTTGTTCGAACTCAGGGATCTGAGGCTTCAGAGAACTAGCCTACAAGAATTACCATAGTAACAGCATTAATAGAGGGGCATTTTCAAGATTTTTTTTCAAAGGTATATCTTAAGTTATCTGCATAATTTGTAAAAATGGTGACACAAGAGTTAACTGTACTTAGAATCATTTTCTTAAAAGTTAGGGAGATTTAGGCCCATTTTAGAGAGACACTGTATGATAATATTGCAGATAGCCCTCACTTGTTGCAATAAGAAGGAAACATATTTTAAACATTTCAGTATATTTTCTTTTCCATCATTGATTTTAGAAACAAAGGAATGTAGCTAACAGCCAATCTCTGTATTTTAAGAATTCACATCATTACAAGCTTAAGTTTGATGCCAGCTCCTACAGGTTTTTTGTTGGAATTGGGATTAGAAGAGACAGGAAAGTGCTTTAAATGGTTTTTGTGTGTCCTCGTGGTTCCTTAGCTTTGGCAAGGGAAAGCCTGTGGGAGGTGCAATAATAGAAAAAGCCATTGTGTTGTCATTTCTACCACATTGATGGGAAGAAAGCACCTCATTAGATTTTCTGTTTTTCATTTTCAGTTTCTAACATTCTAAAATATTCCTAAATTCTTAGTGTATTTTGCTCTGTGCTGTTCTCTGAATATATAGGAAAAAAACTTCTTTTAAAAATACTTAATATTTTACTTTAAACTTTATTGTTAGTATTTGCTATTAGACTTTTAAAGATTCTTGAGGGGGAAAAAAAAGATTCTCAGCTGACTTAAAAGCTGAATTCGTTTATATTTGCTTGTTGTTTTCCACCCAGATCCTGTCTAGATCTCTTATTTAACATTCTGGAAGGGGCGCTGTACCCCTAATGAGGATTCCTCAGCAGTAGTTCAGTGCCTTCAGTGCAAATAGTCGTCTCATTGTTCTGAGTGAGCACACACAGTCCTGAAGTTCTTCCTCTCGGGGGGTGGCCAGTTTGTTACCCTCTTTTTACCCTGAATAATAGGTTGCTATGCCTGAATTTCCAAATTTTAGTCT